AAGAGTGGAAGCGGAGGAATGCAGGAAGAGGAGGCTGCTGCTGGATTAGAGAGAGGGACCCTCGCCATTGCTCAACTCCTCCTTCGTCTTCTTCTCTCTCTAGTCTCTCACCCCTCTGTTGCTCAAAATCTCTCTTTATCCTCCCTCGGCTTTGTTTGGGAGAGCGCTTGCACGTGCTGTGCGCACGAATCTCGACTCGCTTTTACCCTCTTTTTTTTAGACCCTGGAATCTCTCTGTCTGTTTATTATAGTAGTCCCTCAAATTTTTTTCCTATTTTTTCTTTTCATACCAATTTTTTCATGTCCTAAGTTTAGCTTAAAAGATCCAATAATCGAAAAAAGGACTTCCCCTTTTTGGATTATTTCATTTTTTTATTAGATTTTGGCTTAATTACACTTAAATAACCTATAGTTTTGCACTTATACATGTTTTAGCAGCACTTTTTTTTAAATTTGCATTTCTAACCCTCACTTGTTTTGACAGCAGTTATATGTCCTAAAGTTTTTAAAACTTGCACTTAAATATACTCAACTGCACTCTTGCTTCCCCTCCTTTCAAATATTTAGGACTTCCCTTGAAGAAAGGCTCCTTATCCAGATCTGACTGGCAACCTTTGTTGGATTTCATTCATCGTAAACTCTCCTTATGGAAAAGCAAACAACTGTCTATTGGCAGCCGCCTCGTCCTCCTCAAATCAGTCCTTTCCTCCATTCCCCTATACTACATGTCTTTCTTTAAACTTCCCTCATGGCTCATCAAAGTTATTGACAAAATTAAACGCAATTTCCTATGGGGAGGGGCTTCTGAAAACTATAGAGGCAACCATCCAGTCCGGTGGGGGATAGTTTGCTCCACTAAAGCTTGTGGAGGTCTGGGAGTCACTAACATTCACCTCTTCAACATTTCCCTCCTCTCCCAATGACTCTGGAAATTCTTGGACAGCAGCAACCATGTAGGTAGGGTACTTCAATCCATCTACAAGCACAACCTACATAGTCCACCACCACACTATCAATGCTCCAAATTCTAGAAAAATGTTCATTCATGCTACATATTCTTCTTTGCCTTTGAAAAATGGTCTCTCGGTAACGGGTCTAGAGTCTGCTTTTGGGAGGATAAGTGGATAGGCGACAACTCTCTAACAAGCCTCTTTCCTAAAGTTTATGATTTGCTTTCTCCAAACATGTTTCCATTGCATCCCAAGGGAAAATTTCAGGGGGAAATTTGGCAACGGAAACCTATTATCAGGCGCCCCTGCGGAGAGGATGAAAGGGGTCAACTTCAAGCTCTTCTTCAATTTCTATCTGCTTCAAACTTGTATCCTACTCCAACATCTGATTGTCCAACATGGACCATATCAGACTCAAAATTATTCTCTGTCATGTCTCTTCACTCTATGCTAGCAGATGGTGGTCTGCGATATCAACACAACTATATCATTTGGAATAAAGTGCTGCCTAGTAAAGTTCAAATCTTCTTCTGGCTCCTAAGTTCTCAAAGATTGAAGACCAAAGACAGATTAGCCTCTCAAGGTTAGCTACAAGACTCTTGTTGTTCCTTCTGTAGTGAACAAGAATCTCATGATCATCTATTCCTTTCGTGTCACCTGGCTAACCAAATTTGGGATCTGTTCCTCCCTAAGATTGGCATAGGATCCCTCCCTACCAACGTTGGCCAGTGCTTATCTATTTGTTCTGACTTATCTATCCAAGCTTCAGTTCGCCTCTTATGGAGCATATGTTTCCCAACTATCAGCTGGGTCCTATGGAAAGCCCGCAACGATTACATCTTCTCTAACCTCATTAGCACTCCTCGGCAAATCATCAACAAGTCAGTTTACTATCTTCTTTTCTGGTCAGGTGCTTCCAATTTCAAGAAAACGCTAAAGATGAAGAATATCATCCGATCTGTCGGGCTTGCAGATATCCTTGAGTCGAGTGCTAACAGCAACGAGATCCCTTGATCCGCGTCTTGGCCTCTCTGTTGCTTTTGCTTTTGCTGGATTTTGTAGTTAAATTGTGTTTTTCCTGTTTGCTTTCTTTGTTGGTAGCTTACTTTTGTTCTTATCTCCAATATATCTTCTACTGATTTGGATTTTTTCTCCATCTCGAAAATATCGTTTTAATCATTAGAAGATATCTTCTTTTGTAAGTATCTCATAATTTTGGTTATATATCATACTTATGATAGGGCAATATGCCCTATTTTCCATCAAAAAAAACTAGAGCATATTACATATTTTACCACCATGTCATCAAACTAGAGAAAGTTCCAAATTTGATATATATGTTACTAAACTGGATTTAAAAATAAATGTAGTCTCAATGTCACTAAACTGGATTTAAAATCAAATTTGACCTCCACATCGATAAACTGGATAAAATTTATATTTGACATCCACATCGATAAACTGGACAAATTTTTAATTTAACCTCCACGTTGATAAACTGGACAAAATTTTAAATTTTACCTCTACGTTGTTAAACTGGAATAAATCTTGAATTTGATCTCCACGTTGCTAAACTGGGTTCAAAAATCCAAGTTCCATTCCATGCCTTCAAGTCAAACCTAAAGCCAAATTTCAATCGCCACATCTTAGGTTAGGATTTTACATGAAAATTTGTACATTGGGGGTATGCCCCTGATTAAGCCAAGTACATGATCATTTAAATAATAATATTATTATTATTGTATTTTCTTGTTTTGTAAGTTTTTTTCTTGTTCTGATGACTTGTATTGACTCTTAATCAAAGGTTCTCTTCCTCAATAAGGGTAATTAATAATTGACTCTTGAATCTATTGGAAACCATGAAGCCACATAAAAATAAAACCCTCTCCCGTAGGATGATTTTGACGGGATCGATATACAAGACAAAGTTATCTATTTTAATTGGATGCCTTTATCCACAGCTAGTTGAGATTGGCAATTTTGACCCCACAAATATAATAGGAAAAAAAAACAAAAGCAAGCTGAAAGACTACCTTAGCAAGCCATTGAAGCATTATGGAGATCTAGTTGTAATTATAGGAGATGATCACGCTAGGGGAGATCATGCAAAAGCTACGGTGGAGAAGTTAATTTGGTAAATGTAAGCCAATTAACCGTGCAAATGATGATGACGAGGATGCTGATGATGATGATGATGATGATGACATCCCTATGTTCACCAATCTCCTCAGGTGCAAAACTTAGATGAGGATGACACTCCACCTCAAAACAAAAGTAAGGGCAAGGCACCAATAAAACCCAATTCACAGAGGCCAACTTCCCTTAAGGGTAAAGTGGGCAAAAAATCAAGTTTTGAGCATGAGATCATGCAGCAAAGGGTTGATGAGGTAAAACAGTTTTCTTCCTCTATGAAGTCTGTTAATATGCACCGGACAGAGAAATTTTCCAATGCTGTCTTTTGCTCATAAAGAAAAGTACCCAGTTGAAGTTCTTGAGCTTTTTTATGGTGGTATATGTGAAAGTGAGAACTGTTGTGCGCCGCGGAAGCCCTAAATTGACAAATCGAAGGCACACACAAGACAATAGTAGACCACAAACCAATGCAAGCCAACCAATCACAGCACAAACACAAGATATACGTGGTTCGGCAATATGCCTACGTCCACGGGGCAAGGAGAGGGAAGCTTTACTATTCAAATCAAAGGGGAGTACAGGTTAGGGTTACAAATCTTACCCAAAACCCTCAAATAAGACCAAAAGATCTCTCAAATAGACTCCAACAATAGAAGCCCTCAAATCTCCCTTTGCTCAGCTCAAAATCGCCCAAACTCTTGCCCTAAAAACGAGTTTAGGGTATTTATACAACTCCCAAGCGAAACGGGTCTGAAAACCTGAACCAACTGAAACCCGCTTCGTCGGTCGACCGGGTCGGTCGACCGCGATCAATTCCGGTCGACCGACCCGGTCGACCGACCACCTCCAGCAGAACCCCGAAAGAATCCAGAGAGCCGTCGGTCGACCGGGCCGGTCGACCGACCTCCTTGTGCACGAATCCGGTCGACCGGACCGGTCGACCGCCACCTGTTTTTCCTGATTCTGCTGCTGATGCTGAAATTCCTTCAAGAACTAAGCTAAGGCTTTTTGTTGGAAAGTCAAATGGTCGGGCAAAGGACTAAACTGGACAAATTCAAGAAAGTCCAGCAAAATAGTAGCTAGCTAGTGAAGGTAAATTTTTTGTCTTAGTTTTTGCTTTTTTTGTTATATGTTGTGGTGTTAATGCATAAATTATCATGAGGGTAACTTTTGGGTTTTTTGCTTCTTTTTGTGGATGACACCGACTGAATTACACGTGTAGGAGTGAGCTTAACGTATGCTCATATCTTTTGCTGGATCTATGTTGCTTCTTTATGGCTAAAGAATGTTGTAGGTTCAGTGTTATATCCCCTAACCATGAATTTTTGGCAACAATGGTACAATTTGGTGAGTATATGATGGTACTATTATGAGTTTAACTGTGCATTTTAGCCAACCAGGCTACGATTTTATTTTTGGGAGTATATGCTGATATTATCATACAAATTTTTCTCTTTAAAATTTTCTCTATCCATATATATATTTGTAACTTTATTATTACTACTGTACTCATTCTCTTCAAGTTCTACAATTTAATCTTCGATGGATGCAGGAAAACAGTGGAATGAGGAAACTTCGTGCATAAGTTACACCAATTGCATCGATAATAATAACTGATATAGCAATCTTGCATCTGTGTCTCTTTTTTCTAATGGTGCTATAATGATTGTCACAGAATATGACATGCAAAGCACATTTTCTATTAACACCGTCTAGGCGAGGCGTTTTACTATTGCCATGACCAAATGAATATTTGCAGCCTGCAGTTATTAAATACAATATATGTCTTGCATATCTGATTTCTTATGACCAACCTGAGCCCATTAGAATGATCATATGTGTCTCCTTTATATAATGGTGCTATGATGATTGTCACAGAATAAGATATGCAAATCACATTTTCTATTAACACTGCTTAGGTTATGGATACGCGGCCTACAGCTATTAAATTGATAATATGTTTTGCATACCTAATTGTTTATGACCAATCTGAGCCCATCAGAATGATCACCTTCTCAGATACATATACTCATTTATTTTGGGTCCTTTTTTGGTTACCAGGATTGTGGTTTAGTTGGTTTTAATATATTGGTGTAGTTAATGATTTTTTTTTCCCCTGGCGTCAGATTTATTATCTCATTATTTTCTCTTTATTCTATTTATTGTTTATGGTGCAATGATGATACTCAATACCTAAAACTAGTAATTATCCTTGCAATGTATTAGCGAGGCAACAAATTATCATTCAGTTGAGCAAATTTTTGAGATCTGCAGCCAACATTGGGAGTGCAAGTTTACTGGTGTTACATACAATAATGTAAATGAGAAACATCTGAGCTTATACATCTCATATTACGGACTCAATTTGTGCTATATTTCAAAAGGTTTTATACATGAAAATTAATTTTCTTTAACATATGAGCGTTCTGCATTATATTTTTAAAGTACAAATTACAATGTTTGCAACAAAAAGAAAATTGCAAAAAATCACTAACATAAGAATACATATTTTTCAATTGTCAATTCGATGATTTGCAAGCTTCAGTTGTCTCTTCAAATGTTCTGTTTTCATTTCTGCTTTAACTTGAACAGAGACTTGCTCCTTTTTGTTCTTGAATTTCTTGATATCACTCTCATCATCAGCATCAGTCCAAGCAAAAAATTTGCATTGTCTGTTTGTGTATTTGGCGCAGCCCCAAAAATACCTCCCCTTGTTTATTTCGTTCTTGCACAACTTCAATGGTGTTAGAATTTTACAAAAGCAGTGCACCTTCATTACCCCCTGGGAAGAAAGTGCTGCGGACCCCTTGGAAGAAAGTGACGCAGCGCGAAAGTGATAACCTCGGAATCCACCAAGGGTGTTCTCTGATACCAATTGACGCAGCCCGGAAGTAGTAGCCTTGGAATCCACCAAGGGTGTTCTCTGAATCCACAAAGAACGATCTTCAAATCCACGAAGAACTTCGAATCCACGAAGAAAATATTGAGAAGAGAAATTTTATTGATGAAAAGTTATTCTTCTTTGGGGTTACATGACTCTCCTTAAATAGAAAAACAAATAAGACTCCTAGTAAGACTAGAATTACAAAAATAAAAAGTATCAAATAAGACTCCTAGTAAAACTAATATTACAAAAAAAAAGTGTCAAATTCTATCCTAAAAAGACTCTTTATAATAGAGGAAACAAATCATGAATCAAAATTAATTTTGTTTCCTAATCTAATTTAACTCTAAAATTAAATTTATTTCCTAATCTATATTTTCTAATCTAAATAGACTCCAACTCAGGTTAAGCGTCCTACATCAAAAAGCATATCAACAGATTTTAGTATGCTACAAGTATTGGTAACACTCAATATTGGGTTGGAGATAGTATACGATGCCACAAACCTTGTATATCCATTTTATATTTGCTATTTGACCGTTGGCTTGCTGTTTGTCACCGTCGGAATGCATTTTTATCAATTTCTAATAGGTATGGTTACCTTTATATGATAGTTCCAGGCTGTTTTGTCCTATCTGGGTGGTAACCTCACCAATGGTGACCTTATACAACATTACCCATTTTGCACTTTTACCAACCAAACAAAGGAAATTGAGGAAATCAAAATATATTGTCAGGTTTCTAGCTTTTGAAAACAATAAAAAGAGAAACCTTTTGAAAACAATAAACCAAACAATAGAAATGAAAACATGACATTTCCACCATATCCTTTCCATGCAAAACAAACACAAAAAAACCATTTGGCTGAAAACCTCAAAAATGCACCGAAGTTGTCTTTCAGCATGGTTTTCCGATTTCCTCTCTTTTTTTTTTTTTTTTTTT